ACTCTTACTAAAAAAAATGATAATATTTCTGCTTGAATAACTTTCTTATATTTTCAAATCATTACAGCTACAACACAACTACCACCGAAGCAGACAAGTGGTTTACGCTTTAATTTGTGCAAAAATAATCAATTTAAAAGGTGGAGGAAAGCAAGATCTAATTTAACCAGATTAATATCTTAAATCGTCAAATAGTTGATAACGATAGCAAAGTTAGACATTTGGAAAGGAATGACTGCACATGCATTAACGAACACCTCAAAACACATTCATAAAGTCATGTCAGCATGACCTCGTTAGTATGTTTAGTGTGTTTTTCTCAGGCAGCTCCTTCGTGGACACTGTAATAGGGAATTCAGTCCCTTCTATTCCAACAGCAAAATTTAGCATAAATACCAGCTTCTGGCTGGGGAAAGTCTTCTGATGACTGTCCCCATACCATGTAGGTAGTAAACTCTTCCCAAGCTCTTTGAAATAACAGAGAAAAATAAAATATTTCAATATGTAAAAATAATATTCCATTTTTATGAGTGTTGCTGTTACACTACTGACAGCAGAAAGGCTAAACACAACTAGTTACTACTGTGGCCAAGGGCATCGCACTGAAAGACAGAGTTTGTGCCAAACCATGAACCTTTCAAAGAGTTAAACTACCCTTGTAGGGTCTCACCTTGTCCCTGAGATCCTCTCCCAGCTTTCTGCAAGCCTGTTGAGGTTCCCTTGGCTGCCAGCATCCATAGGTGATTCCTCTTACTCAAAAATGACCAAGAAAATAAGGACTCCTTCCATTCAGCCTCATAAATGCACATGCTCCAAGGGATTAGGCTGCTACTTAGGCTAAGGGACTAGAGATGGTTTTTACACATCAGTGTAAAAAACATCTCCCTGCCTTTTATCTGTACAGATCCACTTATCTGAGCTCTAACTGCAGTTTCACTTTCCCTCACCAACCAGCTGTGAACTAATTACGAGGACTTCTAACTAGTCCTGCTCCCCCTCCAAGCATATGGATCCAATTAAGTCAAACTGCAGCTGATTTTAATCAATCTTCCTTGAAGCAGTCAAACTTGAAGAATCTCTTCTCCTTCAGCTCAAAGAGTAGAGGAGAGCAGGAAAAGCAGGAGAGATGTATTTGCATAAGGAACACTTCACATCTGCTTGGTTGCCTGCAAACACAAGGCTCCGAGCAGTAAGAAATGCTAATTGAACACTCCTCACGAGTCTTTCCTCCCACTTTATCCAAAAAGCACTGATTTGATCAGTCTCTTTTGTTCCTGGCATCGAGCTGCACTTTTCCACCAGCAGCTCGGGAAGATGGTCCAAAGTGTTTCGGGTAACTAAACAACCCCAAACTTTCATTGAAACCTCAGCAGATGTGCCCACCATAGGCCATGCAATAACAGCACATCTGCTTTCGTAGAACCACAGAATGGTTTGGGTGGGAAGGGACCTTAAAGACCATCCAGTGCCACCCCCTGCCCTGGGCAGGGACACCTCCCACCAGACCAGGTTGCTCCAAGCCCCCTCCAACCTGGCCTTGAACCCCTCCAGGGATGGGGCAGCCACAGCTTCTCTGGGCAACCTGGGCCAGGCTCTCACCACCCTCACAGCAAAAAGGCTTCCTGGAAGCCTTTTTTGCTTCACCAAAAGAAAGAAGGGTAGGGGAGAGGAGATAAAATTGTCTGGTTAAACCCACTCTTTTCATATATTATTTGAATCCCTCTCCTGAGCCACAGTTCAAATGTTTTCCTTAAGATAATGTCCTGGGCGACGGGGAGGCACCCTCAGCAGGGTGTAATTTCTCTACAGTTCCACCATTTCTTGTGTTTTTGTAATCTGAGGTTTTTATTAGCAGTAAAGACCTGACCAGTGAGTAATATCCATGCTAAAGTCTTTATATCAGTGAAGGAAAATCAATGCAGCCTGCAGCTAGGTGTCAAGAGCCAAGGGGTTTTGGAAGAAGAGGTGTGTGGAGGTGGAAAGTGCCTTCAGCCATAATTCAAGCTGTCCCCACACGGGCAGAGAATACAAAGAGATGTCAGACGTTATACACACTGCTGAGGATAGCTATCAGTATCTCACTTTCTTTACTTGCTAATACTGAGCTCAGGGAGCATGAATCAGCACCAAACACAACAGCACCTTTCCATGACCTCGCTTGCCCTTTGGCCAGTCCATCGGGGTCTTGTAGGTCTTAAAATGGGCTATTGGTATCAGCAGCTGAAGCAGAAATGAGCAAAATTCATGTGCAAACACTCGGATGTGAGAGGAGGCAAACATTTTTGAAACTTTACTCCCTTCCACACATCAATACAGTCAAACATTGACGTTTTTAATTACCAAATATTAGCTGTATCTCCTTAGATTTCATTAACACACGCAGCTTTATGAACTCAGTGGACTTTCAGCCCAGTGTGAAGCAGTCAAAGCCTTAATCCTGCCTTTTCCTCTTCAAATTCCCTATTCTAATACACCCCTTTTATGCATCTTTCATTTAGTGGATACAATTCCAGAAAGTCAGAGGTATTATTTTAAAAAAGAAGGAACTGCAGCTAAAGATTTGTCAGAAATCGCCCTCATCCTACCGTGTTTAATGTCACCCCTACTTTCTCTTACACCTTTATTTGAATTGATGCCCTGCTTCTCCCTTGTTTGTCATTTCAATCATCTTTCTGTTCAGTAAAATTTTCTTGTGATTTCTCTATATAAAGTTTGCCTCTCCTTTTTTACCTTTTGTGATAAAGGGACATTATTTTAACCCATCATTTCCCAGTGATTTCTTTCAGAGATGGGAATAAATAACATGTCAAACCAGCACCATTTCAGTGACCTTATCTGAGTGTATAATAATATTTGCAGCGTATTTGCTCAGCGCTGATAGAAGAGGTGAATTTCTAAGCTGCTCCTTAACATAGTGGGCTCCCACTGTAAGAAACTTTCTTCCAACGTGTTTATCAAAAAATAGTCATTCTAAGCTTGGCCTGTCAGGATAGTTGATTCTCAAGGTGAATAAAAAATGGGAAGGCTCATCTTTTCCTCTCTGAGGAGTTCTGAAGTCTTGACCATTCAGGTGGGCACTGATCAATACTGACATTTTAGCATTCACCTTACATATTCCGATATCTGTGCTTTCCTCTAAGACACAAGTAAAGTGAGGAGCTAAGGAAGGTGGGAGCTCCCTCCTGTTAAATAGAGAATTAAAGCCATGTCCTCAGCCTTGGCCAGGCAGATGTAAGAGCATGATTACCTTAATTCAATGCACTAACTAGCCTTTGGGGGACTGGCAGGTTTCTCTTTCCTAGACCTCATAAGCCAGATGACCACCTCCCTTCTCTTTTTCCACACCTACATGTTACTCACCCTTCCCATATAAGTTTCCCACATTGTTCCCATCACCCTATTGCTTTTCTACACCGTGAAAGCTCAGAGATCCAAGGGTAGCTGCTGATGATCTTCTCTCCTCTGCCGAGGACCAGAAGGCAGACCCTCAGCAAGACTACACTGAAGGCTTCAGACCTTTCCTCTTTGAATGTGGAACTCAAACAGCTTAGTGTTTCCGCATCTCAAGAGCAGTGATGAGGAAACAAAGCAGAGCATCTCCAGACACCACGAATTAAACAGGGGATTCCTCTGGTCAGGCCTCCTTGGAAAGGCAGCAGCCATCGTAAGACAAACGTTGGCAGATTATATGTGACCCGAGTGAGTTGTAATCTGCTCCGAAACCAAAGCTGCTGTTGTGTTTGTTGGAGACCGAAGCATCCAAACACCAGCCCAAAGCTTTCATCTCCTTCTGATGACTGAAACCCAATTAAAGGAGAGCCGGGTGACAGGTTTCACACTAAACATGGCTCAGCAGAGATGCTCAGCAGCTCTTAGCTCCCTGCTTTATCAAAGCTGTCACTTCCCCTGTCTCTACGAATTGGTAATAAAAAAAAAAAAGATTTGATTCGCCTCTAATAGGTGTCAAGATAAAATCAATGGTCTGTCTGAAAACTGAGTAATTTCAAACCTGCAGGTTTTCTACCACGAAGCAATTTACACAAAAATGGGGGGGAAAAAAAGAGAGAAAGAAAGAAAAATTAAGAGAATGAAATGCTACAATGCCAAATTGTTCAGCATATCAGAGAGAACAGAAAGGAGAGATAACACTGTTCATAGCAGGATGGGCTTTGATTAAACAAACAGGCTCAGGTTCTTGTTTGCTCCAGCACCTTTCAAACAGAAAACACTATAAAAGCTTGAAGCAACTCCTGTGCCCCTCCTCTGCAGAGGAAAGCTGCTCCCAGAAGGAGAGCTGGAGGAAGAGACCACTCCACCAGGGTGCCCCTGCCTTCCTTCATGGAGGGTGAGACTTCACTGATCTACCCAGAGTGAAAAGCCAAAGACTTTCTGCCACGTAGGACAGCAGTACCTCAGGAAAAGGTAAAACACCCCCAGCAGCACCGCAAAAGAATCACACCCTTCCATCCTTCTGACCCCACACTTTCTACTCTCCATGTCTGTGATCTGGAGATGCTGCCATGTCACCTTCTCAACAGGACTCTCTTGGAAAAATACCACCCAAGGAGGCCACAAACTGGTGGCCTCTGTCTCCATCGCCAATAGCAGCCGTGGAGGCTTCAGTACTCAAATTTTCATACTGGTTCTGTGCTGTTAACCCCTGTCTACACCCTGGCTTTGGCATGAATGAATTTGGAGAGGGACAACTTATGGTAGCGGAGTTACTTAAAATGGAACTGGTTTTGAGTCTCCAAGTAGAAAAAGCAGAGATTCCAGGCAACGGCACAGGAAACGTGTGATTGCATTTGACATCAAAAGACATCAATAACATGGTCAGAGACCCAGGTGTGTTGGTGCAGTCGGCAAAGGCTGCTGGAAAACGCCTTGCTGCCCAGACTGAGGGAAGCAAAGCTCCATGCTGTGAGTGTTCGGGCTCATCTGGTGGGACAGCGATGGCCAACGGGGCAGGGCAGGCTCCCCAGCATCTCCACATCTCCTACCTGAGGGGTCAGCTTCTCCAGTTTAATCTCCAAAGCTCTGTTCTCCTCTGCCAGTTTGCTGCGTTCAGCTTCCAGCTCCTCGATTTTCAGCCTGGAGAAGAAGGGAAAGTTAATGCACACTGTCCCCTGCACGGCCCCACCACATATAATCAAGTAAACCATGAAATCACAAGCTGTAGCAGATTATTCCTTCATACCACAAAGATACACTTCTGTGGCATTTAAAACACATGACTAAAAGATACAAGTTTGTACGATGAAAATATAATTCGTAAAAGTGCATTAAAAATATACAACTTGAATGTAAAGCAAATCCAACTTAGATGCTTCCTGAACCACAGACTGAGTCAAACCTTCATGTTTAATAACCACCAACAGCTAAAACCTCCATGAGTGCATCAAATCTCTTTTTGATCTGATTTATACTTTTGGCCTTCACAATGCTCTTTGGCAGTAAGTTCCAAAATTTAATTATGTGCTGTATGAAAAATTAGTTCATTTTGTTTTATACTTCACATGTGATTATTTCACTGAATGCCTGTTAGTTCTGCTATGAAAAGTTGTGAATAATTGTACCATACTCCCCTCTCCACACCACTTTACAGGCCTCCTCTATTATTTCCTGAAGAATCTCAATTTAGTCTTTCCTCACATCAAGGATTTTCCATATTTCTACTCATTTTTATTGCCTTTCCTTGTTCTTCCGCAAATTTTATATAGATTTTTTGCTATGAGAAAAGCTAGAACTACAAACAGCGCTCGGATGGATTCAGGGGTATAATGAGACTTTCTGGTTTTTGTTTTCCACTTCTTTTCTCATAATTCCTACTATTCTATTTGTCTTTTTAAGTACGGAGCACTTACCTGACATTTTTAGAAAACTGTTCACAATAATATAAGATCTCTTTCTTGAGTGATAACAGCTCATTTAGAGCCCACTATTGGGGGAATAAAGGTGTTTTTTCTTATGTGCTATTATTGACGTACAACTTCATTTCCCATCTCGAGCAACATCATAAGGTTCTTCTGAAACTCTGAACAGTCTGATAAGCTGAATAATTCCATGTTATCTCAAATTCTGTCACCTCACTATTCACAAACTCCTCTTAGGGTTGGACAACAAATTCCCAATAAAAAACATTCCAGGACCTAAAGGAAAACCCTTGGTATCATCTTCTTTGTTTTACCATCTTTTAACTTCATATTGCATAAGCGAATTAGTGGAATAAAAATGCAGAATGGACAAAAATGTAAGAAAAAAAGACATTATATTATCTCCAGCTCAGGAAACCCAAGAGCCAAGGCACCAGGAGACAAGTAGCCCAGTAGCTCTCATGGAGATCCACCACCAGCCACCCCTGCAGTCAGGACACGGGGACAGCCACCCTTCTGGGATTCTTACATTCTTATTAATCCAACAAAGAACCTTCTTTCTTATTCCATCAGAGTAAAGTTTCTCTGTGACCTTTGGCTCAAAGCTTTCTAAAAGGTCAAATATATTATATCAACCACATCAGCCTTAGCCAAATGATTGCTGAATCCTTCAGAGAACTCTATCAAGCTTGTTGAGCAGGGGATATTATTATAAAACGTTCAATATAACATTTTTGTTTGCATTTAAGTACAGAGCACAGAAACCTTAATGCTGCTTCAGGAACCTCACCTTTCACATGTTAACTTCCTGGGATTAACTGTGCAACTAATCCATATTAATATTGGTCTTTGCATTTAATTTTCTCAGGATCCTTTTCCAGAATATTAAAAAAAAATAATAATTATCTTGCTTGATAAAACCCACTTTTAAATGACCTAAATTAAGCTGAAAATCCTTGCACCGTGACAGTAAACAACACACCCATCTGCCAATATCCCACAATTATGCAACAGAAATTGCAGGTACAACTAAGAAGTTGTCTCTCCTATTCACAGGGTACAAGTGACAAACTTCTCCAGAGAAGCTGGTTGATCTACAACATGCTCAGCACAGAAATGTCTCCTTTATAAATATGCAGCTTGAATTGCTTAAATTATTTGTAAGCCCGACCCCTGCTGGTAATTTTCAGATATTATAAAGGATCATCTTTTTTCCACTCTTGGAAGCTCCTAAAATGCCGAGGAGTAGCTTTTAGCATTGTCCAGGCCATTAAAAGAGATCATCAATAACATCCAGAAGAGACACAAAGCTAGCAGGGACAGAGGATGCTGAAGAAAGGTCGGAAAAAATGGAAATTCAAATTTGAATTAATGCTTTTACCGGAGTGTTTCTAAATGGATTGCAGAACAGGCCACAAGAAGAGCAACGTTTTTCTCTGAGGAACAACAGCACAGCAGCTACTGAAAGGTCAGAGCCAGACACAGGACTCTCATCAGTACTTTCTCCCTACTTGACATGCTGAATTTTAATTTAGAACACATTTCTCTCTCCATCCAGCCTCCCAAATAAGCTGTGATGTTGCCATTATCTGCCTGCAGAACTTCTCTCCAGGTGGAGATTTAAGCTCAGGCCTCTTTGATGCCCTTTAAAAATCATTCAGAGCAATCACCAGAAACCATTTCACAAAGATGTGAGACAAAGCGAGACGTAACAAGGATAGGTTTAAGTCACTATATGTTAATGCTGCAATTTTAAGATTTAATAATTTGTTTGTGCCCTTTGTGCCTCGGTGAGGAAAGGGCAGTGATGTGCAGCCCAGGTGCTTGCAGCTGTGCAGCAGACGTACCTGGACCATGGATTTTGTGGTCAGCAGCACCAGGAGGATGCTTGAAATCCATGGCTTCTTCCCCAGGAGCTTGCCCTTGGGCTTATCCCACAGGCAACTGCTCCTTCTCACCTTCCCACAGCTGGGGTATCACTGGGGTGTCCTCCTTCCCAAAACTCATGATTGGGGTACCACTGGGGTATCCTCCTTCCCAACACCCATGATTGGGGTACCACTGGGGTATCCTCCTTCCCAACACCCATGACTGAGGTACCACTGGGGTATCCTCCTTCCCAACACTCATCAGAGACAGCCCTTGCTGCTTCCTCTGTGCTGAAGATGGGGAACATTGCTGTAACCTCTTTGCACCGGAGAGGTTTTTAGGACTGACTAGTGCTTTCACTACTTATCCCTCTTCTAACCTATTTTTAACGCTGTTAAGTGTCCTGGATCTCCAGTGGGAAAGCATTAAGAACCATTAGCAAACAGTTTGTGCTATTCTAGCTTTGCTTTCCAGCCCTGGGGAACTCTTCCCAATGGCAAAGAGAGAGAGAAGCAAGGGAAATCCTATCTATATATAAACACAGCAAAGCATTTGCAGCTGCTGGTTAAGATATGGCAGTCAAATATTGAAAAATATTTACTTGGTTGGCACTTGAATCTTTTCATTTACATAAATTCAGGTACAGGGACAAGTGTGAACGGCTTTCGGATGCACCAGCATCCACACAGGCAGCCTCAGCCCCTGCATACCTGTGCTCTCTCTGTCCAGGGACATCTGGATGAGGAAGGTGATGGTACTTTATCACCAGTTTGTATGCCTTGACTTGGTACATTTGGGATTTACTCAGGTAGGGAGAACAATCCAAGACAAATCCCTGTGAGAACCGCAAAGAGCAGAGCACGGAAACATCCAGGTCCAGCACAAACCATCTATTAACTTAATGTCTGGCCATTTTAATAGCAGCCCCCAGCCATGAGGAAGGAAGAAACATCAGTTACTTTCTGAAATACTGACACCGTTCTCAAGTTTTGTGATACAGGGAAAAATCATTCCGATTCATTTCTCAAAAATTTACCCACTTCTCCATGCAGGGGTTTGTTGTCACATTTTACATATTTTCCTGTTCTCAATCTCTTTGCATTCCTGGAAGACTTTCCCTGCATCAGATGCAGACAGCTGAGCCCAAAGTCGAAGGCTCCAGAGGCACAAGGTAAATTCAAGCCCTCACCACAGCCTTTCACAAGATCAAATGTAGCCAGAACACAGATTCACTGGTGTGTGCTCAGGTTTGTGGATTTTCACACCTTTGAGAACTGAGCTTTATTTGCCCCCACTGCATGTTCCACTGCCCCAGATTAGAAGAAGGAACAAAAAAAAAAAAAAAAACAACCAAACCTGCAGCTTCAGGTCTCCCAAAACGACATTTGTGAGAATCAGGAGACATCTCACCCCGTGCATTGTCTCTCTAAAAAATGCTTTGATGGGGAGGGATGATTCTAGCGAGAAAGTCCAGCCTGCTCCTATTTTTGAATGGCAGAAGGGGGGAATCTGGTTGATTTTCACCAGCATCGAGGCACTTCCAAAAGCTTCCAGAGCTTTTCAGTGGAGTCAACCAGCCACAACTGCCCATCATCACCTCTTCATCGTTCTTTGATTTGTTTTTAACATTCTCAGGCTGTTATGCACTGGCCTGTGGAGCAGCACAGATATCACCGGTGAGGCCATGTCTCACGGAGGCCCCATCTGCGAAGAGGACATGGCCATGTGGAAAAGCTACTGCCAAACAGGAAACTATTGAATGGAGCAGAAAATGTATGTGTTGGGAAGACGCTATTAAGGGATCCAGATGGTATTGAGATGGTGTTAGGAGCAGAGCAGACAGAATTCCAGCAAGTGTGACTAATAGGCATTGGCAAGGACATGAATTTCTTTTGAATTACTGTAACTCTACCCAGTCACTAAATCCACAGAAAACATTTAGGATTTACTGGGGTTGCAGTTTGACAGCAGCAAGGAAAAGTTCAGATTTGTTCCAGCTGAAAAGGTCCTTCAGCTGTTGCCACTTAAGTCTTTAGTGAAGTTCTTTTTAAATATATTACTTTTATTTATAGGTTCTGAAATACCAGTTTCTGCACAGTTATCACCTTCCCTCTTAAAGGTGCTAATGCCCAAACACTCTCTGCTCTGCTGTACCCCACAGCACACGAACTCAACAGTTTGACCACTTTTTCTTTTCAGAAGATCCGTGGAATATAAACAAATATGATTTCAGAGGGAGCAGCAAGAAGTGTGAGAAATGACAGCATTAGCGCCGGCTTTTATTGTCTCTTCAGAAACGATGATGCTGGGAGAGAGTTTCACATTTAAAGTTATAAAAGGTCTGACGAAAGAGCACTTTGTTCTCAAGAGAAGGAGGAAAAACTGATAAAGTCTTTCAAGTTTCTCGCTGAAAATTTACTTTCCATACTAAAGAAAAATGCAACAAAAGATATGTTTTTAAAAGCTCTCATTCACTCACAGGAGGTGAATACAGATTCAAATGATCAATATAGATTTTTTTTTTTTTCCTCCTTTATGTCTCTCCTGCTTTTGTTTTCAGGAGTTAGCATCTAACCACAGGGTGTATATGGAAACGCCTAGAGGCTCACGGTCCGTTCCTGCTCTGCAGGCCCCCCTTGCTGGTTTCTGCTGGTTTTCCTCTATTTTTCACCTTCCTCCATGACAGCAGCTAAGTGGAGAGGCTGGGCTCCGGCCAGAAGAGCAGCCGCATCGTAGTGTAGGTTAATGGGATTTCAAAGACCACAATAAACTACAGAAATGGAAATAACTCCCTCATAAGCTGTGGCATTTCTTTCCCCACTTTCCAATTGGAAAATTTGCATTCTTCCCCCTGGTCTCTGCCAGAATGACCTTCTGAATAGGAAGGAAGGAGTGGTAGAAGAACAGTAGAAGGAAGGAGTAACAGTGGGGCTCATGTTGCTCACTCCTACATGGCATTAGCAGCCATGTAAAACTGAGTAAACTGGTCCTGTTGGGGCCCAGAAGGACACAGGAGGAGGACAAGCACAGCAGATCTAATCCCTTCCCATCCTCATCTCTGTTCTCCTCCAAACCTCTTCTATTCTTAAATCACAGCTACCCAATTTGCCTCTGCTGCGTGGGGAAGACACATCCAGAGAGGCAGGAGCAGCGTCCTGGTGTGGACCACGGCACGTTCTGCCTGAACCCCAAAAGTCTGGGGAAAGACAGGGATTTATCTTGTGCTCCTTTGAGAAGGAGCTTCTTCTGTGAAGAAAAAAGTTGGCCCAGTTTCTTGTCCAGTGCACAGAAAGTGCCAGAAAACACAAAATAAGGCCCAACCATGTCCTTTGACTGCTTAAGTCTAGAAGGATAAGAAAAAAATCTTTATGGAGCAGATTCTCCAATGCTGAATGGAGTCCTGGAGAGTCTGAGAAGACACCAGAAGCAGCAAGAGTAGGCACCAGTAAGGAAAAAGGAGCTGGGACTGGCTTACCAGTTCTCCAGCAAAGACAGCTCCAGCAGAAAGAGAATACTTTGCAGCAAGGCATTTACTGTTCAAGCTGAGCAGTGAAAAGGGTGATTAAAACCCAACAAATCCATGTTTTTTTGGAACAGCTTTGTAGCTAAATGACTAGCATCAGGGCCTGGGACAAGTATTTAAATCAGCCATAACAACAAAAAGCGGTTCAGTAAAAAGCAACAGAAAAAGCAGCCTGGAATTAGATCCTGGGACTGTGGCCTCTGTGCATCCACAGCCTCGGGAGCACGCAGTACTGAAACGGGGGAGAGAAGACAAGACAAGACAGAAATATCACCATGAAACAACTGCAGAAGCTTAGTCTCTCTGCTGAAACAGCTTTCAGTGTGTGGCTCCTCACTGGAGAATTGCTCCGCACCAGCAGAGGCTTTACTGGGAATAGGTCTGCGTTTGTGCCATGCTTTGTGCAGAGGCTCTGACACAATTTCATGAAAGGAGGAGAGAGATGAGATTAGCAGTCAAAGAAATCCTTTAAAAACAAAAAAGAGAAAGAGAATAAAACATTATCTAGAGGGTTTTAGGGCTACCTTTGAGCAGAACCTAATGCCACGATCCTGTAACAAGGTACCTGGGAGCTCTGCTCGTCCCTCCCCAGGAAACAGGTTTTAAATTCAGGGCAAAGCTGGACATGATGGAGCCACTCTCCATCATTTATGAGAGGTCTCGGAGAACAGGAGAACCTCTCCTGAACCTCTGCTCTGCACTGGTGAGGCCACAACTGGAATACTGCTTCCAGTTCTGGGCTCACCAGTTCAAGAGAGACAGGGAACTGCTGGAGAGAGTCCAGTGTAGGGCAACAGAGAGGATTAAGGGATTGGAGCACCTTCCTTATGAGGAAAGGCTCAAAGAGCTGGGGCTGGAGAAGAGAAGACTGAGGGGAGAGCTCATCTGTGTTTACAAGTTCCTAAAGGGTGGGTTGAAGGATGATGGAGCCAGACTCTTTTCAGTGGTTTCCAGCAATAGGACGAAGGGCAACGGGCACAAGCTGGAACATGGGAAGCTCCACTCAAATATGAGGAAGAACTTCTTTCCGGTGAGAGTGACAGAGCCCTGGAACAGGCTGCCAAGAGAGGTCGTGGAGTCCCCTTCTCTGGAGATTTTCAAGACCTGCCTTGATGCAGTCCTGAGTGATGTGCTCTGGGCAACCCTACTTTAGCAGGGGAGTTGGACTAGATGATCTCCAGAGGTCCCTTCAAAACTTTGTCAAATCTGTGAATCTGTGACATCTCCATCCCCACTGCCAGGAGCCTTCTGTGATAGGAAGTGCTCCTGGACCATGTACCATCCAGCTGCTTCCCCCTCCACACGCTGCTCCTGAAGCTGCTCAGTGAATAGATGGCAAACGCTGCTCGGCGAAGATAAACACCAAATAATGAGTTTTGGAGGTGAAAATAAAGAGACTGAACATCTCCTGCATGAAAGGGTGCTGCCGTCCAGCCCAGGCTCTGTAGAAATACTCTGAAAACCCTCAGCTCCCAGAAGACAGCAAACAGGATGCTGGCTCTGCTGATAGAGAGGCATAATATTAATCAGGAGCGACGGGTTTAATGTTGCTGAGGAGGGAGTGAACACTCCTGCAGCAGCCTAAAAATCACATTTCAGAGAGTCTCGTGTGCCTTAGCAAAGGAAAAACCTGAATGAGCTCAGTTCAAACACCCACAACATGCAAAAGCAGATGGAGACAGGTCTACCCACCTGAAAAAGGGAAGCCATAGCATACTATCCTCTACCAGAACCACCATGTGAGAGAGTAAAAAAGGGAGATGTATGCCTTGGGTCCTCAGAACTATTACATCACCTTAAGGGAACTATAGGAGCGAGTTCCTGCGATTAGGTGTACAGCCCTAGAACATATTGGAATAGCTCAGCTGAACATGTGTTATTTCCAAACACCTCCCCTCTGCCACGGCACTGGGCTTTCAAAGCCATAAAACAAGCTCCAGAGGCAAAGCACAGAAGCAAAGTCATAACGTACAGGCCAGTAATTTCTACTTTCTGCAAGATTCTGCTCGCTGCAAAACCTTCCTTTCAGTCCTAAGAGGCACTAACGCTTTATAGCGATGGAGCTGAAAATATAAAAGAATTAAGAAATGAAACTCCAGCCAAAGTCTTACATCAGCCGAGAAGAAAAAACTCAGCCTGTCAAGATCTGATTTGCTCAGCTTAAATAAAAGGAACTTTATTAAACATTCAGAAACAGATGAACTTTTCTGTGCCCACTATTTATTGTGTCACCTGCTCTGGAATGGAAGCTGTAGATGCTTTAATAAATACACAGAGAGCTTGTCTACCTTCACTGTAGCTTGTAAACGCTCGTGTATTCTGTGCAAAAATGCTGTTTTGTAACTCCTCTTTCAGTGCATCACAACAGGTCCCCCTCTGCCATCTGCAGCAATGCACGAGGGGAAACAGCCCGCTTTTATCTCCAGTGCCACACGCACAGCAGGATCACAAAAGCTGGATTCTAAACCTCTGCACACACACGCCAACAGATCCTGTATTTACGGTCGAGATTTGGTCAAAATATGACACAAACAGCAATGCTGTTTCCTCGGGAAATTCAACAGGGGGAAGAGTGACGCAGGAGCTGGGGATATGAATTATCTGAGAGCAAGAGACCCCAAACATTAAAGAAAAGAGCCTGCAGCCTCCTGGAAGACAGACCTGCTTATAAAGTATCAAAATGCAGGAAAGATCAGGGGCTGAAGCTTTCTGTTAATGCTTCATGGATTTCTCGTGTCCATAAAAGCTGGAGAGAATTTGAAAAGCGTGCTCAGGAAAAGAACATCCTGCTTCAGAAAAAACAAGGAAAACACATTCTGATGCTGTTCCCTGAATAGCAGATGGCCCATGTGCATAGACAGTCTATACTGTGTGCTTTTTCATGCACTGTGACGTGGTGAGGTCCCATACCTGGAGTTGGCAATAACCAGAGCAGGCAGTGAAACAGCCCTGGGCATTTCCCTTCTGATTTCCACTGAAAAAAGAGGAATCTTCTCAGCGTTCCCCTTGCTTTGCCTACCTGAGGGTGTCAACCTCCTCCTTGGTGATGGCGGTACTTTGCTCAGCTGTGCACTCTTGAGACTTCAGGACCTTCATCTCCACCTCCAGCTGCAGAAGAAAAAAAAGGCATTAGTTCCTCCAGCACTGATAAGGGGGACACGTAAACAGCACAGGGAGGAGGAGGAAATCATGATGCTCTGCACAGCTCAGACCTTTCTCAAGATATGGACATCAAGCACAACTCTTCATGAGTTGAATTAACAAGACATGGTCAACTCTGCTTCCCTTTGCAATCCCTTTTGCCTTCCCCAACATTTTCTCCAAGGTTTCAACACAGAAAGTCAACTGTTTCTCAGCTTCCAGGTATTTCCCCACCCTGTCCCCTATAGATAACGTGATGCAGAGAATTATCTGTGTGGTATCAGGAGCTTGCTGGTACCCGAGATGCAGTATTGACAGTTCAATCTCATTTAGCTCCAATTCCTCCCCAGAAGAAATGAACCAGAGGATTATGCTTTCTCATCCAGGGCAACTCTGAGACACACATTGAATCCAAAAGGCTGGGGAATATTTCCAGCCCTTTCCAATATACGCTCCTCGCTCAGGTAGGTCTGGTGGAACAAACAAACAATTAAGAATACTTTCTGCCTCTGGCCTTGTTTGGGAAGGAACTCACCAGAAAGTACCTCAAAACTCTACAGACACGAAAACTTCTTACTCAGGCTCTACCATTCCCAGGCTCCCTGACATGGGAATCTGTATCCCTAATGCAACTATCAAGACAACGCACAGATTGATAAATGACAGATGTTACTTGTTTCTAAACCCCTCAGAAAATGATTTATTATGGAGTGTAAGCAGAGCCAAACTACCTGGAGGATACTCCAACTTCTGTTCCAGCACCATCTCCCAGCTTAGTCCTCCTTCACACTCATCCTTCAGATTTTGGATTTCCTTTTATTATCTGTCTTTTAGCACCTGGCAACTAATTCCCCTAATAAATCTATTGACAGAAACGATATTTTTCACTCGGGAGGAAAACAATAAGCAATCCATCCCTAATTATAGATGCAAAACTTATGACCACAGAGAGCTCAGTGCTCAGCATCAGGGAAATAATCCATTAATACTCCATTGCCTTCAACAGCATCAATTAGACTCGTAGAACAAAAAAATCCCATTGCAATGGCAAACTTCAAGCTGACAGAAACTCCCTATTTTTTACAATGGAGAGGAACATATTGACACAGAGTCATATTGCTCAGCCAGAACTGAAATTCTGACATATTGCCTCTTTGCCCTTCCATCCTTAGCAGAGAAGACGGACAGAGTATGGCAGAAGGGCGTTAGCAGGAAAGGGCAAAAAAGGGATGGTTGGATTATTCTCCCTCCCCTTTCTCCACAGGGAAGAGCAGGAGAAGGTGGAGATTTTAGCCCAATTTTCCCCCCAGCACCCCGAAGCCCCACGTTCTCCCCCTGCCTATCAAAAGGCATCCAGGAAGAAAAAATAAGCAAAGGCCCACCTGCACCATCAGGCTGTACAAATGTTAATGTATATTAGCTGCCTGATAAGATTATCACAGCCAGAAATGCTTCCCTCAATTTTCTGATTACTGAGCTTATCTCTCCCAGCTCAGCCCATCACAGATGGCTGGGGATAAAGCAAGCATGCCAGATAATTCCAGGAATGTGAATAAAAGGTACCGGGACGAGGAGCGGGCTTCAATTCCAACCTCCTTCTAGCAGGAAAACACTCATTATATCTCCTTTTTCCCGTGTCTGCTGAAGCCTGGATGTGTTTGCTTTTTAAGAGTTTTGTGCTGCTTTCTGGACTGCGTGTGGACAGCATTTGAAGATGGAAGGGCTGGTAAATATGTTATTTATCATGGGCTAAGAGGGCTCAGCCTCGAGTCCAACCGCCACCTGCTCACCCACAGGAGCAGATAAATCACAGACACCTTCTCCAGGGAGACGGGGGAATGGAAGGGGTGGGCGAGTTATTTGCTGTCTTGATGTGGGGTCTCTTGTGTTGGCTGCATAGAAAGGGAAAAAAATGGAGTGTGTAATGGGCAAAGGGGATGGGAGAGTGAATGAACACACGCTGAAGTGACTGCTGCCATGGAAAGCATCAGTACAGGGCTCGCCTGATCCACAGCGGTGACAAATTAGCGCCAGGTACGCTCAGCAGCGGCGTGATGAGGTTCTGCTGGGTTTCTAAGAGTATGTCGTTGAAGGAGAATGAGGAGGGATTGTCATTTCTCTGTTCCTCCAGTTTTCAAGCACCGAAACTACCTAGACTGAAAATCCAATGTGCTTGTGGTGGAAAGGGAGAGGGGGGCACGGTGATACCTTGAGAGATGAAACAGGCTCGAGCGGTTCAGTGCTGACACAGACCTGCTTCCCTCAACTGGGAGTAAAACTGCTGGAGAGTTTCAAGTTCAGGCCAAGGAACAACTTTGTGTCACAGCAAATTATTGTCATTAAAACCTCATTAATTGTTTATTTCAAAAAAGAATGTTAAACAGTTAAGGTATTGAGTACTTCATTCAGAATTTGCAGCTTGTTTCCTTTAATTGTTTGGGTTTGGTAAGGAAAATATCCCTGCCTGCCAGTCTCACAGAAGATATTAAAAATGTTATTTTATTTATGTCTTTTCCAGGGCAAAAAAAAAAAGTTAATTGAGATAAGATGGAGTAGCTTATTGTTGGGATCCAATTCTGCTTTTCTGAAGGCAGCACAGTGCAGGCAAATAGGTCTTTGTGAAACAAGAACGAAGAGAACAGCAAAAGAGAGCAAAAAAAATCAGGAATCCATTGATTAAAAGCTTCCTCTGACTTGCAGTTCTGCCTGCTGGATAATCCAAGCAGAAGGTGCTGTTGCCAGGCTCTGGTGAGACCTGGCACACTGGTACCTGTTAATGCAGTGTCAGACACGAGCTGGACCCATGTCCATCCTGCCCGGGGTGTGGGCAGGGGAAAAAGCAGAGAAAAGAGGCAGAAACGCAGCAGAACTGAATGGGGAAAATAAGCAAGAGGAGGGCAGTAAGAGGAGAAATACAAATCCATATCCTACATAAGTCTGAGAGGTGGGGAGGTCACCAAGACCATACCCCCTCAGGGTAGCAATGGGGACCAGGTCAGATGCATGACATGAGTCCCCGTGGTGGCTGTTTGTCCTTCCCTGCCCACTCGTCCTCTTGGATCAGTGGCACAGAATGGCCTCAAGGAGAGATAAAGAGAGGAAGAGCCCATCTCCTCTTGCCGTTTTCTCTGCCTAATTCCCATCACTTCCCCATTCCTCAATTAATTCCCAGTACTGGTCTCTTTTGTTCACCAGATGCCACTTTCAGCAGGCATTTTCTGCATTTTGGACTAACTCAATATTCCTGTCTAAACTCTTTCAATTTTTATCAATAATTTTATATAACTGGCTGAGTTCAACTTTCATTACTTTGAATACATTAAAGTATCAGAAGCCATTACCCAGCAGAGAGGGGAAAAGGGCTGTTCAAATTGCAGCTCCTCACTGTATTCCCCCATTCACTCCTGACTGACCCAGGTCAGGCTTGGATCCTTCAACTCTCTTTTATGTTGATCTGGCTCTTAACTAGCACCGAGAGCAGGGAGAGAATATTGTCCCCAAACACAGCATTGGATCTCTTTTACCCTGAAAACTCCACGAGAAGGACCCAAGTACCTACAACTCCTGCAGGAGCTTCAGGGTTAATATTGCCCAGGGTCAGCCCCCCAGTGATGTCCCCTCTGTACACAACACATTAGCATCTTGAAAAGAAACCAAGCTATTAGTTTTCATTTTTTTTTGAAGTTACCCAAGGTTTTTATGACACTGGAAAAGGCAGAATAACAAGTAATGTCAGAGCCCACGACTTGTGAACACAACACATAAACAGGTAGTTAACATTTTGAGGATGTGATGTTCTCTTCTCAGAAGACACTGGAGCCTCTTGCTCTCAAACCAACAGGATCCCCTTTATCCTGAACCTTTTCTACTCTCTTTCACTGCAAAACCATGAACTTTATTGCTCTCGATACAAAGGGATTAGGACATATCCTGATATAGATCTATATCAGGATATAGAATGTTCACTCCCACAAATACCCCAAGAGATGAAATACAGATATTTTTCCAAAATAAGTAGTCAAAGCAGAGAAAGAGAGGAAGGAAGAACATGGATGAATTTCTGTCTAGTGTTTAATTAAACGAAATATCGTTTTTCTTTCAGCTTTACTTTTAAACCTGCCTGGACAAGATTTCAAGGTGGTGGTTCTCCAAGTGCTAATGACATAGCAAACACCCACAGCAGTGCAAGAAACGTGTTCCTTGCTGGTTCTCTCTTCTGCAGGAATTATTTAAAGATACATGAGATGACAGGAGAAACACAAAATTATAAATCCATCTCCTGACAGCTAGAAGAAACAAACTTCTACTTTATAGAGCTGATGACAGGAGAAACACAAAATTATAAATCCTGACAGCTAGAAGAAACAAATTTTTACTTTATAGAGCCGATTTTCTTGGTATATTTCTGACATTTGTCAAGTCTGACCCGTATTTTTGTCCTCTCCAAAAGAAGTATCTGAGCCTCCGCAACCCCACGGACCTGCTGTTCCTCCCACTTGATTCCAGCAGATTCAAGTCCTCCTGAAGACAAACCTTTCCCAAGCATCCCACTGGTCTACTGTCCACCCCCCATCTCCAAAAGGAGACTTATCACAAGACTTAAGCTTCTAAATCAATCTAATAAGTCACCCTTGAAAATCACATCTGTGAACTTCTGACTATTTTAACCCACAGCCCAAAATAACGACCCAATCTCTGTCCAGGTGCCTCATTTTGGGTCGTAAAGGACTCAAAATCTAAAGGATTTCAACTCGCTGCAAAAGTTGGGATTTGCACGTTGGAGAAAAGGGGTTGGTTTATTCGCCCACATCATGTACACATATTTCACAGAACACATGCTGGAGACATACAGTTATTATTTGAATAATGAGTGAATTTTAGTGAGGGGCTGATACAGCAATCTTATCCTGATGAAGTGTGCCTGCACGTCATTCAGCATTCTTGGAACTGTAAAAAAGCAGGAAATG